ATAATAATAATATATTTTTATATATATAAAAAAATTCAATTTAATGTTATTTATAAATAAATATATCTATAAAATTATTAATATATATTTTATAAAAAACAAAATTATAAGATTTTTAATATAATTACCATTAAAAATGATAAAATCTTTCAATCGTCCGACAAAATAAAAGTATTGGTTTTGATCATAATATCCTAAATCACCGGTTAGTAGGAAACCATCGCTAGTAAACAATTGATTGGTAGCACCGGGATTACCAAAATAGCCGGGTGTTACCTGAAAAAAAACAACAATTATTTTTTGTTCATATTATATTATAATAAAAAAAAAATCTTTTTTGCAATAAATACAAACAGTTGGTCCGCGTAAACATATCTGTCCCGTTTGATTGGCCGGTAAACTATTGCCACAGTTATTGGTGTCAATAATTTTGATTTCCATTCCGGGAACAACTTTACCCAAAGCAGTGTCCGTACTATTAATTGTTAGACTATTCAACTTAGAAGCCGGTTCTATAAATGCTGTACCAATTTCTGACATACCGTAACCTTAAAAATTAGAATTAGAAAGTTAATAATAATAGTAAATAATAGTTAATAATAGTTAATTATAGTTAATAATAGCTAATAATAGCTAATAATAGTTAATAATAGTTAATAATAGCTAATTATAGTTAATAATAGTTAATTATAGTTAATAATAGCTAATAATAGCTAATAATAGTTAATAATAGTTAATAATAGCTAATAATAGTTAATAATAGTTAATAATAGTTAATAATAGTTAATAATAGTTAATAATAGTTAATAATAGTTAATAATAGTTAATAATAGTTAATAATAGTTAATAATAGTTAATAATAGTTAATAATAGTTAATAATAGTTAATAATAGTTAATAATAGTTAATAATAGTTAATAATAGTTAATAATAGTTAATAATAGTTAATAATAGTTAATAATAGTTAATAATAGTTAATAATAGTTAATAATAGTTAATAATAGCTAATAATAGCTAATAATAGTTAATAATAGTTAATAATAGCTAATTATAGTTAATAATAGTTAATTATAGTTAATAATAGCTAATAATAGCTAATAATAGTTAATAATAGTTAATAATAGCTAATTATAGTTAATAATAGTTAATTATAGTTAATAATAGCTAATAATAGCTAATAATAGTTAATAATAGTTAATAATAGCTAATAATAGTTAATAATAGTTAATAATAGTTAATAATAGTTAATAATAGTTAATAATAGTTAATAATAGTTAATAATAGTTAATAATAGTTAATAATAGTTAATAATAGTTAATAATAGTTAATAATAGTTAATAATAGTTAATAATAGTTAATAATAGTTAATAATAGTTAATAATAGTTAATAATAGTTAATAATAGTTAATAATAGTTAATAATAGTTAATAATAGTTAATAATAGTTAATAATAGTTAATAATAGTTAATAATAGTTAATAATAGTTAATAATAGTTAGTTAATAATAGTTAATAATAGTTAATAATAGTTAGTAATAGTTAATAATAGTTAGTTAATAATAGTTAATAATAGTTAATAATAGTTTAATAATAGTTAAATAATAGTTAATAATAGTTAAATAATAGTTAAATAATAGTATATACATCTTCTGAATTGTTTAAATCCGTAAACATCTATAATCTTATCATAAATCTGTTGATTTAGGTCACCGCCGATGACTATCAAATTGTCCAATGATTTCAAATATTGTTTATCATATTGATTGAAATGTTTGGCCAAAAATTTCATTTGATTCGGTAGAGTATAATATACTGTCACCCGATAGTCATGTATTAAACGAAATACCGATTGAGGCGATTGGTAATCGTTATCGTTCAGTACAACCAATTGGCAGCCATTATCGGTAACTATTGTCTGAAACAGGCAAACCAAACCCATACCGTGCGAAAAGCTAATGGATAATAATATATCGTCCGGGTTAAGGGGTAAAACATCCCTGTGCTGCATAATGGCCATCAACGACAACCATTGGCTATTTGTCCAACTGATGGCCTTTTGCCAACCGGTTGTTCCGCTAGACATCAATAGTGTAGCCAAGTTTGTTGTTGGTTGTGGTGTCGGTGTTGTTGTAATCGGCACTGGTAGTTTATTATTAATATCTAATTTACTAATAATGTCCAAATCTAAAATACTCTAAATTATTTTTTGAAAAAATAATCAAAAAAAAAATCGTAAAAATATAAACTTTTATATTTATAATATATAACAAACAACATTATCAACAAAAATGCTAATTTTTTTTTTAAAGACATATAATTAATAATTAAAAAATAAAATTTTAAAGTATGCATATATATATATATATCGATATTTACATTAAATTATATATATTATAAAAAAATGTACCTTGATAAATTTGTATTTTTGTTGAATAGTATTTAATAGTTTCATATTTTGTTGGCAACCGACTAATATAATTGGTTTAATTGTTTGAATCATATTATCTATTTCATCTAAAAAAAAAAAAAATAATAATTATAGTTGAAAAAAATTTGATGAAAAAACATATATAATTCTAGTATTATTTAAAATAATAATAATTTTTTTTTTTAATTTTATTTGAAAAAATAAATTTAAAAATAATAAATATTTACTTTCAGTTGAAGTTGAATACAATGAACTATAGACACCTCCGGCGGCCAATACGCCCAACACTCCGATGGCGTGTAAGTCATTGCTATGTGTTATAAAACATACCGTTTCTCCCGTTTCCAGTCGACAACAATCATCTGTACGTAAGTATTGGCCAAAACTAAGGGCCGACTCCAGTACCTGACCTCTGGTCCATTGGCGACCACTATGGCTGTCAGTCTATTGAAAAAATAATATAAAAAAACAAAAACAAACAAATAATTAATTAATTTTCTACTAAAAAAAATAAAATAATAATCAGTCTCTAAATCTCTCTCTCATAAATATTATTAACAATTAATTAATATTAAATATAATATTTATATAATAATTTTTTCAATTGCATATAAATTAATAATAAATGATTTTATTTATTTTTTTTAAATAAAAAAAAACATTTATTATTAATTTATATATAAACCATATAGAGTTTCATTGGCTCTGATTGTAGTTTTCCAATCAATAATTCAATAATTGATTGATATTTATAATAGTAATCGACATCATTGTAGTTAACCGATCGTATAATATGTTTTGAATCCATTTTTAGTGATTAAAATAATTTTTTTAAATGATATATAAAACAATATTTTTGTTGTTTAAATATAAAAATAATTTATTTATTTATTGAATTCCAAAGTGATTTTAATTTATAATTAAATGTTTATTTTACTGATTTTTTTTATAATGACTTAAAAGCATTACTAGTAATTAATATATATATTTATAATTTTTTAAATGTCAATTAAATTAAAAGTCATTGATTAAAAGTGTTTTAATTTCTAATATAAGTAAATTATTTTTAAGAAAAATAAAATAAAATAATTGAATTACTATAATATTGTTATATAAGTTTGTAATTGAAATTATAATTCAATATTTATTGATTTTTTAAATAAATTTAATAATTATTTATTTAAAAATAACAATATTTATGAATTATAAGATTAATTTAATTAAATAAAATTATTAAAAAAAGACATTTTTATTAATTTAGTTTTATATTGAGAAAATAATCATAAGTTTATAATTTTTCTTTTTTAAAAAAAATAAAAATATTACTAAGCTAATTTTCTAAAAGTTTTATATTAATATATGGTATATATATTAAATTTTTAAAGTTTTTTTTTAGGTACTATACTAGCTAACAGTTTGCTATATTAAAAATATTATTATAATTATTATAATTATTATAATTATTATTATTATTATTATTATTATTATTATTATTATTATTATTATTATTATTATTATTATTATTATTATTATTATTATTATTATTATTATTATTATTATTAWTATTATTATTAATATTATTATTAATATTATTATTAATATTATTATTAATATTTATTATTAATATTTATTATTAATATTATTATTAATATTATTATTAATATTATTATTATTATTATTATTATTATTATTATTATTATTATTATTATTATTATTATAATTATTATTATTATTATTATTAATATTATTATTAATATTTATTATTAATATAATTATTATTATCCTCATCATCATCATCAATGATTTGAAATTTAATTCAATAAAAAAAATTATTTTTAGGTGTTTTAATAGATGTTTATTTTATTAATTTTTAAATCTAAATATTATTATTAGTCAAACTTTTTATAATAATAATAATAATAATAACAATTAAAATTAATTATTTCTATTAATTTTACATAATTATTTTTTTTGTTATTTATTTTTTGTAAATTGTCAATTCAATTTTTTTTAATTAGGTTTATTTATCTAAATCTACATTTGTTTGTTTCTCCATCCACCCACCCCCCCATCCCCTCTAGTATAATGTACAGTAATTTTTTTTTAATTTTAAATATATTTAAAATATTTTTTATATACATTTATACATAATATATGTAAATATATAACTGTTATATAGTATTATCTATAATATATATAGATTCTATATGTTAATAAATGTTGTTATGTTTTAATACAATATGATGTAATCTATAATAGTATTATAAATTTATATATTATTGTTTAGTTAATCACTATAAGTATTATTATTATTACCACTACCACTACTACTACTACCTACTATAATGTACAGTAAATTTTTTTTATTTTAAATATATTTAAAATATTTTTCATATACATTTATAAATATATAACTGTTATTATATATGTATTATCTATATGTTAATAAATGTTGTTATGTTTTAATACAATATGATATAATCCTAATATGTATTATAATTATTTATATATTATTGTTTAGTTAATCACTATAAGTATTATTATTATTACCACTACTACTACTACTACTACTACCTATCCATTTGAACCATCATTAGTAGTAGTAGTAGTAGTACTAGTAGTAGTAGTGGTAGTAGTCATCAGTGAAATGGTTAGAAATATCATACAACCGCACACTGTATTCACCAATATTATCAACAAATAGATACCGGGGTATAGTTCAACATACAGGCCCAGTAGATAGGGTAGAAACGAGTTATAGAGGCCACAGTTGAATATGACTACCGTTGCCAACCGATTGGTTAGCTCGACATACTGGCCGGCGTAGGCAAACACTGCCGGCAATAGTGCCGAAAACCCATAGCTGACGACCAGTGCACCCAACCATAGCCAGTGGTAGTAGTCGTGTCCAACAGATAGTATAGCTAAACCCAACAACAATATCAGCCAATGATAGCTGAGTATTACGTGGGGTTTCAGCCGTATGGATATGGCTACAGTTATTGCCCGACCCATTGTATACCAGACGGCCATTTGGGTGACCAACGTAGCCGATTGGCTGGCCGTTAGCTGCATAGGTATATACTGGAAATAGGTGGCACTAAATTTCAGATATATATTATCCGATACAAATACTAGACCAATCAAATTGGATAACAGCCCCACCAGTAGACTATGACCCAGTCGGGTACTTTTGTATTGGACTATTGATTTTTTGGTTGAACCATTGGTAGTATCTACCGGTGCTTGTGGCGGTGGTGTTGTCGTTGTCGATGATGATGATGATGATGAGCTACTATTTTTATGGGACAGTTGTCTACTATTGTCATCATCATAGGTATTGTTGATAACGTACGGCCTAATTAAGTACATGATTGCCAATAGGATAGGACCTAAAATTAAAATTATAATAATATAAAAGTTAAATTAAATTAAAATAGAAGATTAATAAAAATAATAGTTTAATAATAATAAAAGTTTAATAAAATAATAGTTTAATAAAATAAAAGTGTAACAAAATAATAGTTTAATAAAATAATAGTTTAATAAAATAATAGTTTGATAAAATAATAGTTTAATAAAATAATATAAATATAAGTATTATAAATTATTTATATAACTGTTATATTGGGTTATATTATGATATATATATATTCAATATATAAATAATTAAGTTTAATTATAAATGGGGTGATCATCAATAAATTTATATAAAAAAATTAATAAATTATTTTTTTTAATTATAATTATAATTTTTTATTGTTTTTTAAAAAGTTTATTTACTTGATAACTACTATAACTTACTAGTACTAGTAATAATAATACTACTAATAATAAATACTAACCTATAAACTCGGAACAGCCTATTATAAGGAACGGTATGCGAAGTTTATCCCGGCGTACAATATTTTCCGTATCAATCAACTGATCCAATGTCTGATTAACCATTATTTCAGTTAAATTATTATTAATTACGGTATTATTATTATTATTATTACTATTAGTATTAGTTAACTGATTGTTTAGTTTTTTAATAGTATGTATGAGTTCGCCGGTAACATAGGGCTGATCCAGCATCGGCCCGAATATAGTACCCAAACCGTACATAAATTGGGACAGTTGTAGTACAGGTGCGGATCGATGGCCGGGCCACATTTCGATTATCCATACATTATAGGCACTAAACCAGACACCGGAGCCGAGACCATAGCCGAAAACACTGAGATAATAGTGTAGTAATGACTGGGAGTATGGCATCAGTCCCGTTGATATGGCCATCAATGCCGTAAATACAATCAAAACTAACTGTCTATTCATGTATTTGTATAGATAGCCGACTGTTTTGTTTGTTTTGTTGGTATATGGATAACAAACAAAAAACATAAATTAATTTTAAATAAATAAAAATTATTATATATATTATAATATATATGATTAATGTAGTTAAGCAAAATTATATGTATATATATATTAGTGTTTTTAACCAATCAATTGATTAATTTAATTATTTAATATATATATATATATATATATTTTGAATACACTGTAAGTTAATTAAATTAAAATACTTTTTTTAAAAAAAAAGTTTATAAATTTATATAAAACTATTTATATTATTAGTACAAAACAAATATATATATATATATATATATCATATAATAAATAAAAAAACTAAATGCAATTATAATTATGTTTAGTGTTTTTTTTTGTTGTGAATATACAGGTATTATTAATTTTAGTTTTAAATATTATTACTAATTTTTTTATAAATAAATATAAAAAATACTAAATAATTTAATTATTAATTTTATAAGCCAAACATACAAAATGATCCAAACATATAACCAAATGATAGCAAACTTGGAAATAAGGAAACATTACTGAATGTTGTCTTCAATATGTATTTATAATCAACAAATGTCGGACCAAAACATGAATTATTTAATCCCTTAATTTAGATCACAAAAAAAATAATCAATTAATTAATTAATAATATATTTAATTATATTTAAATTTATTTATTTATTATTATTATTATTTTTATCGTATCTAATTTTAAATAAATTTATATATATATATAATTTTTTAGTTGTAATAAAATTAATAAAACACTATATATATATATAGACATTATGATTCACTAATTTATTTTTGTTGTTATTTTAAAAAATAAAATAAAATAAATAGTTTTTAAAAATATACCAGACAAAATATATTTTTTAAAAAAATTATTTTTTGTTGTTTTTTATTTGATGACTAACTTGAAAAATATTTTATAAATATTTATTTATTTATTTATACAAACATATGTTTGTAATGAAATTAACTATTATTAATAAATATTTAAATATTCAAATAAATTTTCAATCATATAATAATTTATATATATATTGTTAAAGTAATATACTTACAAATAATAGATGAATTATACAAATAATAACTGTATAGATATAATAATTGTATGGATGATAATGTTGTTTTAATTTTGTTGCTGGCTTATTTGATGATAATTTTTTAATATTTAATCCATTGGTTTCATTATTTATTATATTATTATTAACATTAGTATTATTATTATTACACTTATTAACATTTTTATTAATATCACTATTAATAGTCAATTTACACGAATTATTATTAAAAAAATTTATATTATTTTCAATATTATTATTATCACTTATATTATTCATTTTTATAATTTATAAAAAATAAAAATTAATTTTAATACAAAAAAATATATATACTTATTTAAAATAATACTAAAAATATAATACACAAAAAAATTATTTATATTATTTATAATAAACTTATGGTATTATAATAATATCAAATAAAATACAAAAATTCAATATCAACATTATAATGATGATGATAATAATAATAAAAAATATGACATTGATAATATGACATGGATATTAATAATTATTTATTTAAATAACACATTATTTAGAGAGAAATATATATATATATATATAACTAATTATATATTAATTAATTTGATTGTTGATTAACCTCTAAAATGTTTATTAATTAATACAATAATAATAATTATTATTATTATGAAATTGATGCAAAATTTAAAAAAAATATTATTAATAATAATAATATATAGCAATTGTATTTCAATTTTTAAAATTACAAATAAATTCAATTATTATTGTTTTTAAAAATAAAATAATATTACAACAAATATACAACTAATAGATGTAATAATAATAATAATAACAGTTTTAATATAATATTTTCTGTGTGTGTGTTATATCTATATATTTTATATATACTTTATAACTATGACTACAATATATATATATTCAACAACAATAAAAAAAACCTAAAATTAAATAATTTATATAAATGTTTTATTTTTTCATAAATAAATAAAAAAAACCACCTGCCTCATTTGATAAGTCATTTTGTAATTTTGTGTTTGAAAAAAAATTACTAAAAATTTTATTATTATTTGTTTTAATGACTAATATATATATATACAGTATATACTGTATATAATTTCAGGTTTATCATTTACTGGTGCTATCATATATATAACAAATTATTAATAAATAAACTTGTCAAAATATATATTAATATATAAAAATAAATTGTTTTAAGTAATTTTCTAGATTGGGAAACTTTCAACACTAGTATATTGCATATACTAGTGTTTCCAGCATTAGTTAAATATACAGTATTTATAAACATGTTTAACATTAATTAACTTAACAATTATTGTTATGTCAATAGTTAGGTAAATCAGATAGTTTAATTGATATATCATTTTATTAGTTAGTTATAGTACAGTATATACTATAATATTTGATAGTTGAAAATATTATTATAATTAAGTTTTTTATTAGTATATGTTTTATACAACTGTTTGTATATATCATATGTGTATATATATGTATGTATGTATGTGTGTATGTATGTATGTATGTATGTATGTGTGTGTGTATATGTGTATGTATGTGTGTGTGTATGTGTGTATGTATTTATGTGTGTATGTATGTGCGTATGTATATGTGTGTATGTGTGTATTTATGTATGTGTGTATGTGAGTTTTATCTATGTATGTGTGTATGTATGTGTGTGTGTATATATATATGTATGTGTGTTTGATAATATGTTGTGTTAAATAGATAGATTTATTTTTAATTTAGCATGCTAAAATTTCCATTATATAATTAATGTTCAAAGTGAACTACTTACTAAAAAAAAAGTTTTTTACTAATAATTAATTAAACATTATTAATTAATTAGTTGAATAAAAATACAAATACATTGAGACATATTGATAAAAAATATAAAAATTATTTTATTTTATTCTTTAAATAAATCAAATTATATTATTTACAAAATTAATTTATAAATGTTTTTCTAAATGATTGATTAGTTAACAGACAATTATATTTTTGTATAATTTTATTAATCAATAATTTATTTATTTTTTTTAATTACTTTTGTATTATGCAATTGAATTACTTTATAGATTTAATATTTTATTATAATAATTATTATTATACATAAGTAATTTGTAATTATATAATTCAATAAATTTCTAAATATATATATATATATATATATATATATATATAGTAATAGATAAATTGATAAATTGATTAATAAATAATAATTACACATAATGAAACTTTAGAAACTATAGTAAAATATATAAATTAATTATTTATTTATCATTGATTTAATTTTTTTTGCATTAATTTATTTTTTTTAGTATTATACATTATACAGTACATATATGTATATACAGTATATATACATATATATTGAATATATATATATATATATTTAATACTAATACTATTAATAACTACAATATATAATTATTATTATATACAATATATTTCTGGTATATAATTAATAGTCTTTTTTTTTAAAAAATAGTTATATTTAGTTATTAATTATAATTTACATATTAGTATTTATCGCAATTATTGTACTGTATTTTTGTAATAATAATAATAAATAAAAATTAGTTACAAGTAGTATATATATAGATAGATAATAATTTTTAGTAGAATAGTTATATTTAATTATAAAAATTAAATAATAATATTTTTAAAACAAAAAAAACATAATCAAATTAAATGATTAAACAATTTGACGATATCGATAAATTTATCTATAAATTAACTGGTGCCAAATTAATTTCAACAAATACCTGGCTAAATTGTTCAAATATTATTGATGATAATGATAATAATAATATTAATTTAAATTATAAACCAATGGGCAATCTAACTATACTATTGAGAGTACCAGAGTTTATTAGCAAAGTGGTTTGTAAAGTATTTATTTTAAAATATATATATATATATATATTTAATTAATTTTATTTAATTAAATAAAACATTAAAATAATAAACAAAATTTTATTTATAATATTTAATATAAACTTATTTTTTGATTAGTTGTACTATTATTATACTAATAGTAAAGTTTTTATTACTTGTTTGTAATTAATTAATATTTTTTAAAAATAATAATAATTTATAAATTTTTAATTAATACTGTAGTGTTTTATAATTAATTTATTAACTCAGCTATTAATTACTATTTATTTTATTATTTTTATTTATTAATTTTTTATATTAAATTTAGATAATTAATTTTAGTGTTATTATTTTTTTTTTAATTACTGAAATATTATTATTCTACTGTATGTAATGTAATTAAATTATTTTAATAATAATGATAAAAATAATTATATATTTGTATTATTATTATTAAATATATATATATAATTGTCTAGATATTTGAAAATAGCATAATGCTACCGGTGCTCCAGTATATTGCCTGCAATCTGCACCTGGATATATTTTTAAAGTCATCAATGACACTGAAAGTTACTGATATTGATGTACTAGTATTTATAAATTAATTAATTTTTAATTAATTATTTTATTTTAAAAATTAATACTAACTATATTTTTTAATATAGGAACCTACACTAACAATGCCACCCTGGTTTATGTACATGAGCGAATCACCTAGCTACAAAAATATTATATTTAGTGAACTATATCAAATTGATATATTAACCAGGCTGGAAATTGTCCAGGCTAAACATTATCTAGCATTTTTTAGACTATTTGATCAATGGGTTAGTTATGTTTTTTTATTTTAAAACAAAGTTAGCATGCTAATTTTTTTGTTGATTATCTGTAAATATACAGTACCTTTTTTAAAAAAGTTAGCTTGCTAAATTTGTTGGTTTTTTTATTATCTGTAAATATACAGTTCCTTTTTTTAAACAAAAAAGTTAGCATGCTAAATTTGTTTTTGTTTTTATCATATGTAAA